TGAACTTAAATTAAAATGTATATGAAGAGTGGAAATTGTTTTCATAACCAGTATGGAAAATAAATCCTCATAAGAAAGGTTTTAATTTGATAACATAATAGGCTATCATTGTTTTTCAAGATTAGGTAGATAATGCAGAGATACTTATCTGAAGACCAACTCAGGGGCCAGAAAAGTCTTAAACCGTTTAACACACAATTCCTTTTGATTGAACAGAAAAAAATAAACCTTAAACTTCAATTAGGAATTTGTACGTGTCTTTGTATTGTCCTGGTCATGTGCAGATTACAGTTAGTATCTCTTATAAATGGCCAGTGTAAGTTCTCTAAAGTCCAGTTTTGTGCAGTGGAAATGCATCATAAATATGATTTATTACATTAGTTAGCATCAAAGGCACTCCTTCTGACTTTAAAATAAATAACTGTTCTCTTGTATTTAACTTGTTCTATGTCTATTGTCTTATCTATTAGCTGTTTATCTTGTAGAGCAAAAGGTAACTTGTGCTAATCAGCCAGAAATAAAATTGTACAAAGCTGGGAGCATGCATGGTGTAATATGACAGTCTTTACACATAAAACACATCTTCAAGCTAAAGTGATTAAATTGCTGGGCCCAACATGGCCACATATTATATCAACACTACAGAGGAGAAAAGTAATGTCTGTTGTTGTACTGTGTTTGTATCCCACCCTCAGATGCTGTGCCACTGTTCCTAAGATTATTACATTCTCCTCATCAAAATGTGTGTGAGCAGGCAGTTTGGGCACTTGGAAATATCATTGGTAAGTACATCAATTTATATTGTCAAGTGATCAATTGGTTTATGTATTCTGAGGAGGGTGTTAATAGATTAGCATTGGATTTTCTGTCTGTTTGTGGTTTGAAAGATGACCATGTAAAATACATGCTCATGGATTACCACAGATCCATTCAGCTTAGGCAGAACACAAAATACTTCCTGACTGAAAATGTAAAGTATTTGTAGCTTTCTGTCAAGCATAATTGCTTCAGTTGCCTACCATACAGTTAAATGCTTAATGAATGAACCATTAGCTAAGCAGCATGTATGAAAACATCCCGGACACAGCTAATTCACTTCACACGTTTTTTGGGGGTTTTTTTGATTTTTTTTCTCCTCCTCTTTTTACTCCTATTTCCGATTTCTCATTTAAGGTGTTGTTCCATATGTCCATATATGGTTTGAAAGAGATAGGCGTAATGGTTGAAAACGTAAATGCAACTTGTTGTATCTGAAACTTTACTTGCAATAGAGAGGCATGAAATACTTTTAACTTTTAAATCGGCAGTGAAACACTTCAAAGACTATTATATGCATTCTGTAATTTGGATATATAGATATTCCACTCTAACCTGCACAGAATAGCTGATAATTATAGGTCGTCATACAAGTGGGAGAACGAAGGTGAAATGAGAACAATTGAAAATTAATGCTTGTTAATTTGCATAGCAGAAACTGATCAGGGCTCAAAAATGTTCACTAGCGGTTAGCCTCTGGGGAGTGTGCAAAGGGGTTCCCACTGTTTGAAAGCAACCGCTTACTTCAACAGAAGATGGTGGGAAGTTTAGTTGCCCCCTTAAATCCACTGTCATTAACTTGTCATGCGCTACTTGATTGTCTTTTCCGTAAATTCTTTTATTCAATTTCTTACATATATACAAATATCAACATAACACCACAAATCACATAACAACTATTACACCATTAAGACATTAACAATATACAAACAAATTACCCTGTTATCTGCGGGATCGGGCTATTATAAAAATGTCTTAGCTCAGGACTCTTACTCATGCATTATCAGATCTAATAGTTATTAGTTTAATTTATATAGTAGATTCTATTTTATTAACCCATCTTTGCCATAGATCCCTTCTCCTTGGGGAATTCAAATATGGTATACTTGGGTCTCTTTCCATCCTCATCTGAAGGATGATTTGATCTTTAATGGCATCCCAGTAAGCTGTTTGATTAGATTTCCAGTTCCGTGCAAGAACAATTTTAAATGCTACAAGACAATGAATTATGAAACAACTATTTGTATATGACATATTCGGCCAATGCATATGTAACAAAACTACCTCTGGTTTCTTTTCTAATTCTATTCCGGTATTATCTTTAATAAATCCTATCATTCTGTTCATAGAGGTCTGAATATTTGAACAACTCCACCAAATGTGGAGAAATGAGCCCTCCTCTTTATCACATCTCCAACATCTAGAGGTGACTCCAGGGTACATCTGAGAAAGCTTACTAGGAACCAAATACCATCTATACATAACCTTGTAATAAGTTTCTAATAAATTTAAACATTGGACCTGTCGACGAGTATTATTTATAGCTTTACACCAGTCTTCTTGTCCTAAAGAACATTTCAGATCGTTTTCCCATTTAGTCTTCTGGGGGAAATTAACTACCTCATTAATATTTCTAATTATCTCTATTGCTTTAGCTAAAACTTTCGATATATTCTGATTTGAAAATATGCGTTTTATCAATATATGCGCTTTTCCAGAATCTTTATTAAGATGTTTCTGTAAAAAATGTTTCAGCCTCAAATATGCAAATAGCTCTCGTTGAGGAAGATATTTTTGTACTATAATATCAAAAGGCAATATTTTATCTAAGTTTAATATCTGTGAAACTTTATTCCTTTAAGTCTCCAAGTTTCTAGAGATAAATCTTTCATATTGGCTTCTACTATCCTTAAATTTGCCGTATCCATAATTGCATATTTGAGGCCTATCTTCTTTTTAATTTCCTCCCAGACAGGCCACAATTGGGCCCAAATGATGTTATTTTTAATATCTATCCCCATATAGTCTAAAGTTTTTGTGTTCCAAAGCAAACCTTCTGGATTTTTTAATCTCATATCTTCCATTTCGATACTAAACCAACTTTCTTCTTGAGCTGTCCCCGTCTGGGACCTATACATATGATTGATCACATTTGCCCAGTATATAACTCTTATATTAGGAAAGTTTAAACCTCCTTCCTTAATCTTTAGTGATAAGATATTTCTATTCTATTTTTCTTACCATTATTAATGAAATTTTCTAAATTGTTTTGTAGTAACATCAACCATATGTCTGGAATCCTAAGTGGAACCATCTGAAATAGCTCCATTTAGGAATAATATAAGAATTGATGACATTAATACGGCCCCACCAAGTAATCTGCATATTTCTCCACTCTTTGAGTAATAAATTTGTACTTTTTAATAACTTTAGAAAGTTTTCTTCCATCATCCTCTCTATATTTTTGGTAACCATTATTCCTAAGCAATTGAATTTCTGAGGTGCCCATGTAAATGCATATTGCTTACTAATTTCCTCTCTTATCTTCTTATCTAGTTCAACACTCATCACAACTGTTCTTTCATTATTTAATTTATAATTTGCCAAATGGCTATACACTCTAACTTCCTCCATCAGATAATTCAAAGAGCTAGCTGGTTCAGTAATTGACAAAAGGATATCGTCCGCATAGAGACTTATTTTAAATTCTCTATCTCTTATTCTAAATCCTTTTATATCTAAATTTTTCCTGATATTTTCCGCTAAGGGCTCTATTGAAAGAACATATAGTAATGGCGAAAGTGGGCATCCTTGTCTCACCCCATTATTTACTGATACCCAATCTGAACAAATATTTGGGCCTACTATTCTAGTTGAAGGATTTTTATATAAAGCCATAATACCCCTTAACACCCAGCCTTCTATTCCATATGCTTCTAAGGTTAATTCTAAAAACTTCCAGTTTAACCTATCGAAGGCTTTTTCTGCATCAACTGCTAAGGTCATAAGAGGAATATGTTTCTTATTAGCATTATCAATTATATCAATGATTCTTCTTGAATTAGAGCCTATCCACATATCTGGAATGAAACCTATTTGATCATTGTGAATGAGCTTATTAATGATACTCTTAAGGCGGTCTGCCAATATAGATGAAAATATTTTAACATCTGAATTAATTAGAGAGATAGGGCGGTAGCTGGCCACAATAGTTGGATCTTTTCCTTGTTTCAAGATGGGGAGCATATTAGCTCTAGTCATCTCTTCAGGAAAACTTCCTATTTGAACCGCATTATTGAATATTGATGCTAATTGTTTACTCAAAATAGATTTATAAGTATGGAAAAACAAATTAGAAAATCCATCTGGGCCTGGTGTTTTTGACTTCTGGGTTTTAGATATAGCCCTATTCACCTCAGCTTCTGTAATCGGATTATTAATACTATCTTTCTGAATCTGATCTAATTTAGTTAGATTTGTACTAGTTAAATACTGTTTGATCTTATTTGTAGTAGCTTCCACAGGGAGATTGTATAGTAACCCATGCGCTACTTGATTGTAATCTTATCTATACTTTGTTTGCTACATTTCTTGTAAATATCTCAGCTAAAATTATTTCCCCTGTACCTTTATTTTTATTTTATTTTTTAATCTAACATTCAACATGGTAATGGTAGCAAGCTTGCATTAGCGCATCACATGCTAGGAATTTGTCTCTTAAGTAAATTTATGACTAAGTGTCATATTGCAGAAGGTGTGCGGTGACAAGTGAGTTTTAGGTATGGCTCAAAATTGAAAGTCCTGTGCTAATAAACCTTTCATGCCACACTTTCAGTTTGTAACGTTTTGCAAAATTACAAAAATTAAGTGTTAATATGTACATGGGTCACTGCTTCATGTCTTAATGAGCTAATTATGGTTCTCATGATCTTTACTAAACAGGTGATGGACCTCAATGCCGCGATTACGTGATCAGCCTTGGGGTTGTGAAGCCACTGCTGTCTTTTATCAATCCATCCATTCCAATAACGTTTCTGAGAAATGTAACCTGGGTAATGGTTAATCTGTGTCGCCATAAAGATCCTCCACCACCTATGGAGACCATTCAGGAGGTAAATGCCAAAGTCTGTTTAAAGAAAAGTCTTTCTGCAAACAATAAGCTCTATGTTGCCCAAAATGTTCCTTGGAAATGATGATCTTGAGATTTGGGGTGGAGTGAAAATGTCTGTATAGCTTTTTTGAGTGCTAGTTATTCTAGTATTTGGAGGGGTGGTGGGGAATGAGGCCTGTGGTTATTACAAGGGGACCCTGAATACACATTGCTGTTATTGGAGTGCATCTGAGGAATGTTGAACAATAAAGGGCTTTACTGCAACATTTCCGATGATTAGAGCCCTAAACTTGGTTCCCTTAATAACCAGCACACCCTAATATCTCTGACAGGTGCAGAATTATGTCTCTGATCTGATCCCATGAAGCAGTTTTGTACAACTGGCTTTCAGTTTAAATGTTTTGTCTGATTATGACTTGCCTAGAGTGGTAAATATTCATGCTAATTAAATCTTGTTGCTCGAACATATACAACCACTTGCTGCATTTTATTGTGATTTATTGATTTTAATAAATCAAATTCTGTAAAATAGCTTTATTAATGACAATGCGAACAACTATTTCTAAATATATTAATGTCTGATCAGTTAACAGTAACAAAACAAATGTTTGTGTTTTCCACAGATACTACCTGCTCTATGCGTCTTGATACACCACACAGATGTAAATGTAAGTATACAAACCTTTTTTTCAGCTGCATCTGGTTTACTTGGCTACTTAGTATTTTTTGTTTCTTTTGGGTTATTGACATTTCTCTCGTAGATATTGGTGGACACAGTATGGGCGCTTTCATATCTAACAGACGCCGGAAATGAACAAATTCAGATGGTAATCGATTCTGGAATAGTGACCAATTTGGTGCCCCTTCTAAGCAATCCAGAAGTGAAAGTGCAGGTAAGGGGTCTTATTTATTCACCATCTACCACCCCCATCTACACACACCTCTCAAACCTATGCAGTTAGCTAAATCTCCACCATGAATTTATTTTGTTAATATTAAAAGGATGGGAGGTTCTCCTTTGAAAAAAATCAATCCATTTGTCTTTTTGTGAATCTTTATAGGCCATGATATTTTGTAAGCATTTTGGAATATTTGAGTGTGGAGGTCATTATGTATACTGTTTCTATAGTTGCATGTGTTGTGATGTTACACACCTCTGGTTAAATGAGTCTTTATTCCTTTTTATGTATGTTTGTACATTTTCTTATGGTCTTGTTGCCTGCCTTTCAGACCGCTGCTCTAAGAGCTGTAGGAAACATAGTCACTGGAACTGATGAACAGACACAGGTTGTTCTAAACTGTGAGGCACTCCAACACTTTCCTGCTTTGCTTACACATGCAAAGGAAAAAATTAACAAGGTGAGGATTTCTGACATAATTGTTAAATTCGGAAAGTTCCGATATCGCAGGAGCCCAATCCCGGGTCAGCCCGCAGCTTTTTTTTTTTTTTTGTTCTTCCCCATGTGTTTGGGCACTCTGCTGCGTGTTTCTGCACTCATTTAGGATGTTGGGGTGGAAAAGTATGAAATATCGCCGTGCTCATGTAGAGCTGCGTTGCGTGCTGCTCAGTCATGCGCTGGCTCCCTTTCCCCCCGAAGCATGTTTTGTATACCAGTTTGTGTGTCTATAGTATGTAATATCTGAGGTAAGAATAATAAAGGGAGTTGAGTTATTTGAAGTCACCTAAAACCTAGCTAGTAGCATATGATTGGGAAAATGCTCCGCTCTCTGCATTTTCAAGAAGTTTTGAATGGGTTCACCTATATTTTAAAAGTTCATTTTAAAGATCTATTGTTATGCCAAAGTGGGTGCAGTTGACAGATCGACCAGTAAATGACATCCAGTTGTCTATTTTAGCATTCCTAAAAGTAGTGCTCTCATAACATACAGGTATTTTCACTTCTTCTAAAGTGCATGGATCATGAATAAAATGCTAGTCTAACATAAACCATGCACACTTACAAATGCCCTTTTTCTTTCTCTCACAGGAGGCTGTGTGGTTTTTATCGAATATTACTGCCGGTAACCAACAGCAAGTTCAGGCAGTGATTGATGCTAACCTTGTACCCATGATTATTCATCTTTTGGATAAGGTAAACAAATAGGATGGCCATTTTTGTGTACAAGAGTGGAATGTTGAATAGCTTTATAACAAACGTGCTTTGTTTTCCAGGGTGATTTTGGGACACAGAAAGAGGCAGCATGGGCTATAAGCAATCTAACAATCAGTGGAAGGAAAGAACAAGTGGGTAACTTGTCAGTAATGTGTGTTTTTTGGGGGGGAGTAACCCTTTTTTATGACATTTTACATTTATTAGTTTAAAGTGTGGAGACTGACTTATACACAGTTATAGAATACTGCTAAATTAAAACTTTGCATAACTATGAATGTATAGAACTGAACAAATTTAGTGTTGCTCCCTTGCATAATCCTGCTCAGTTATAATATACACCAAATCAGCTTCTCCGTTGAAACCGTGAACTGGCACCACATGGCACATACTGTCCATAGCAACTTCGTCCACCACTTGTGAAATTATTTGACTTTTGTGTTTTATTTAAATCGGGATTGAAACAACTGCCTGTATATAATGTATTTTACAGCGTTTTTGAAATGTCAGTCTGTTCTGTCCAAAGACAGTGGTAAATGTTTCCAGAACCCCAAGATGGTATTATGTTTGCCTAATAATGTTTCACAGTTATGTATCTTTTATATTACACAATATTTTTAGATTAGGGTAGTAGTATGTGTTAGGGTAGTGAAAAGAGTTTGAGAATTTTAAAGAAACACACAGAAAGTCTTGTGCTCAAACTCCCACTACTTTTGGACAGCAGCAATTGCTCTCATATGCTACGGCCCAAATACATAAAACAAAACTCCTAATAATATTTCCTGCACAATTTCCCAACTCTCTGAATATTTAAATTAAAATTGGGTTTTTACTACTGCTGCTAATCATTAAAGTGACACTATAGGCACCAAAAGAACTTTAACTTAAAGAAGCAGTTTTGGTATATAGATCACATCCCTGCATTCTCACTGCTCGATGGTGGCAGGGATGTGATCTATATACCCAAACTGCTTCATTACGATTAAGTTCTTTTTAGATGCCTATAGTAGCACTTAAAAGTGTAAGCTAATCTACCAACATTAAAGCAAAAGTCTTAGGTGAGTCCTAACAATTTATCTTGCAACTTTTATTTTAAAGGCAAAGAGGGTTATTCTAATAAACCCCTGCAATAATTAACCCTCAATATGATACATGTGTTTGGTGGCAGCACTGCAACGTAACAGAAAAGCAAATCCAAACAAGATAAAAAGCCCAGCACTCAAACTCTGGCAGCATTTGGAGTTTGCCATGCCACACTGTGAACATGCTCTCAAAAGTCCCATTTTAGCAACATGTCTGTGTATCTAGAGATAATGCATCATGGTAAGATATGGCTTATGGGAAAATACTGCAGGGGTTTTGACTGAAGCTGTAGTGACTTATAAATGTCTGCAGAACCTCAGTATGGATTTAATTTCACCTAATACATGCTTCACTGTTGAGAGTTAAAGTGCCAGGCAGAAGCTATTTCATGTGTTGGTGCCACCCGGAAATGTAACTCATGCTTATCTCTTGTGGGCTCCTGTAAGTATTCTCTTTATTTTTGTGGGGTTTTGTTTATTCGCTCCAGTGTTTATTGTGGCAGTAAACCTGAATGCTTTGCTAGTAATTGTTTTCTTGCTTTGTTACTGCTAATACTTGTCTCTGAAGCTGAATTCCCCTGTAAAATGTTTAAAGGAGCATATTTAACTAATGTAAAAGTAAACCTGAAGGTTTCCTCCCCCCCCTCTTCTCTCCATCCACTTTCTTGTAGGTTGCATATCTTATCCAGCAAAATGTAATCCCTCCATTCTGCAACTTGCTTACTGTAAAAGATGCTCAGGTCATACAAGTAGTGTTGGACGGGCTAAGCAACATATTAAAAATGGCTGATGATGAGGCTGAAACCATAGCCAATTTAATTGAGGAGTGTGGAGGTATGCCACTTGTACTACCATCTCTGTGTATTTTGTATTGATTGCATATCTCTTTTTAATGTATTTTTAGAATTACCCATACATCCAGCTGGTCTATTATCTAAATGTTTTCTTTGGTTGAAAGCACGCTTTATTACCAAGTTACACTATGGATGAATAGCGCTAGCTGAGGTTCACAAATCCTGGCATCATGTTTGAACACCAGACTTGTTTTAGCCTTACACGTTTCACATGATCTTTGATCAGATAAAGTGATCCAATGAAGGAAGTTAACTTTATCACAGTAGTAAGGAGGATTTTGCAGATACTCTGAGAAGGCAGAATGGAGCAAGAGAATATTTTTAACTATTCTCTTCACCTCCTGACACTGTAAAGTACTACTGACTAAAACCACCTCCGTGTCTGCCTGTCCCTCATGATGGGGTGGGCAGTGCATGAATGGTTTTATTTTCTTTCCTGATCACTGGAAGCTCACAGGATGTGCTCTGGTGTGCTGCTGTTTGTTCCCTCATTGCCACGGATGGCCTGCCACTTGTGGCAATGAAGGCGCATATACTAGCAAATGATTGGCAGAATGACCGGAGTTCCCCTGGTATGGCTTCACATGCCATATGGTGCATTCCTCCATTTGCTGAAAATGGAGTCTGCTCTTCATGGTTGCTTGCATACTGGGAGTTATTGAATGCACACACCGGACGTTTAGTCCACTCTACGCACAGAAGTAGTATTTAATTGCCTATGCCTTATACCAGGGATAGGCAATCTTTTGTATTCTAGATGTTATGGACTCAGTTTTCCTTGCTTTGCCAACATTAGAGAGACTCTCCAGTGCCAGGAAAATAAACCAGGTTTCCTAGCACTAGAGAATTTTGGAGTGCCCCCATCCCATGTCAGTTACTTACCTGAATCCAGCACCGATGTTCCTTGGCGGTGGGTCAGACTCTGCACATAGTTTCCCCGCCCCCCCACTAGTGGGGGAGACCTAACACGCATGCTGTTTTTCAATGCTTTCCAATGGGGAAAATCTGATCTGTTGGTTTGGATTCCGGAAGCCCTCTTGTGACAGACTGCCACAGAGGGCAGACTTGGAGCTGCAATGTTTTGCAAAAGGTTCACAACACCCAGACCACTTCAATTAGCTGGTGTTCTTGGTGCCTGGAGTGTCCCTTGAAGTGACATGTAGTTCACTGCCAAAAGTTGCCCACCCCTGCATTAAACAAAGCTACAACTGCTACCACATGTAATACACTTTTTCTTGAGCTGCTTTAAAGGATCTCCTAAAGCACCTTATCCACCACAGCCTGCTGTATTGGCTATGGTGCCAGGACTGACCTG